TTAGGAAGGACTTCCTGGTGGGGAGGGCGGTTTGGCCCAGGGACCGATCGGGTGGCCTTCGAATGCTTCCACCCTGCAGGCAGCTCGCTTGGAGGAGCCCCTGGCCATTCTCTGAGGATCCCGGCCCCACGGAGAACACCACCCTCTTCCTGCCCCCCCCCACCGGGGCACTAACTGAAGACAGAACCTGTTTGGCAGCCCTTTGCCTGTCTGTGTCTGAGTCCGGTTGAGTTTCCAAGAGCAGAAAGGCGGGGAGGAACGGGAGTGGGGGGGTATCTTGGGTACTTAGCAGTTCCAAGGGCCCCCTGGCGAAGAAGCCTGGCACCACAGGGCTGCAAACTGCTCCCCACTTTTCTTTCCCTGCTGTTTCTGGACTTCAGGCCTTTGGGGGGGGATATCTCTGCGTTGGTGGTCTTCAATAGCCGGTACACAGCCTTTCACTTTAAAAAGCCACCAAAGTACACAGTGGTGCCTGGAAGACTGTTCGTTTGGCAACAGAAACCTTCTGCTGATGAAACTTGGTTCATATTTAAGATGTTGCCCAAGTTCTCGGATATTTTCGTGCCCCAGACGTCAAGGGCTGCCCTCTTGAAAAGATCTTCCGCTGGAATTGCATGTGGGTTCTTACAGTGACTTTGGTGATGAAAGGCGAGCTCTCTGCTCATGCCTAAGGGCTACCTTTCTGCGCCTCTACCCTGTCAAACCAGATTTCAGATGCAAACTAAAATGCCAGCTTTGCTGGAGACAGGATGTGAGGACAGCTGCTGGCTTTTGTACTTCCAAACTATCAAAAGTACGTTTACCTCCGAGTTAAACCTTGTTGGCATTAGCAGGACTTAACGTTTGAATAGAAGCGCCTGGCATCTGGTGGGTAATTTACTGCTCTGGCCCAGCATTCCTCCATATCACAATGCTGAGAGAGAGGGGGTAAGACTGAGTGTTACCCTTGGTTTAGTTTGTTCTCTCATTCATATGCCTCTTTAGAGAACCCCCTCTGAGCACCATCCAAACAAGAAGCTGCATAGAGGCTTTAAAAATAAAGAAACAAGCCGTGGTCTTCTTTCACCTGCGCCTTGCACAGGCCAGGCACTGTCCCCTTTCTGTTTTCCCAGACCGTGTCTGGATCCAGGCTAAGGCAGGAGCTCAGAGGGTCCTAAGGCTTTGAGGAATGGAGGGATGGAATGGAAGAGGGAACCCCACCTGTGAGCTTTTGTCAGAGGGCCTGCAGTCTGTGCGGATGCCTTTAGCCATCAGCCATTGCCCACAGCCTGATGGGAGGGGTGGGCAGAGGAGAGGGGGCTGGGGAGGGGACCAGGGACCCTCGCTGGGTCACCTCCCTCCCTCCCAGGCTGCTCGCTGGGAAGCCATGGGGCATCACCACCAGACAGCAAACAGACGGCAGGTTTGGGGGTCTCTCTAAAGCCCCTTCCCCGGCTCTCCTCTCCAGTGGTAAATGCCACAACCAGATTGTGCTCACGCCCATGATCGAGAGGCTGACCACGGAATCGCTCTGCGACCAGCTGCCCTACACGCTGACCCTCGTCTCCATGCCTGCAGCCACGGACGGCAAGCGGGGGTTCACGGTGGCCGTGGAAAGCAGCTGCTCCACCTACGCCACTAGCGTCCAAGTGAAGGAGTGAGTACCGCAGAATCTCGGCGGGTCTGTTTCCCTGCTTGGAATCTGCAGCCTTTCCTTTAAAAAATGACAACAGTGCGCGCGGGGTGGGGTGGGGATGACTTTCTCCATGACATTTGTTGGGTTCCGCGTTCTCTTGGAATGAACGCAAAGGCTTCTCCTGGGGCTTGGCTCCTGGGTAGCCACAGCGCTCGGCGAAACAGTATCCGTCTGCCTGGTCCTGCCCCTCTTGCTGTTGGTCCTGCCCACCAGTGGCATGCTCCTCTCCCTCCCTTGGCCCTCCGACTCAAAGAGGCCCACCACTCTGGTTTCCATGTTCTCTGTGTGGAAATGTGTGGACCATCCTGACCACCAGCAAGGGTCCAGAGGGTCAGTTGCCACCAGTTTGGTCACTGCCAGGGCTTGTCTTTTAATGCTGGACATTTCAAAGCGGGCTTGTCTTGCTTTAAGCTCCTCCCTGTGTCTTTTCCCCATGCTGTGAATCAAAAAGGGAATCAGCAAAGGAAAAACACTCAACCGTCTCTCTTGCCTCTCGCTCTCTCTCTCCTCTTGGGTTAGGGTCAACCGAACGCACATTAGCCCTGATGTCCGAAATGCCATTCACCCTGGAGACCGAATCCTGGAGATAAACGGATCCCCCGTCCGCACGCTACAGACGGAAGAGGTGGGTTCTAGAAAACCTTTTCAGCTCCCTTTCTGCCATTCCTGGTGATTTGGGGACTAGACACCAGTTATGGAAAGATCGTGGCTCCGTTTTATTGTGACTCCATTGTGTGCAGAAGACCCCAGGTTTAATCACTAAGTAAAGCATGAAAGGGGCGTGGTGGCGCTGTGGGTTAAACCTCAGAAGCCTCTGTGCTGCAAGGTTGAAAGACCAACTGTCGTAAGATCAAATCCATGCGACGGAGGGAGCTCCCGTCGCTTGTCCCAGCTCCTGCCAACCTAGCCGTTTGAAAGCATGTAAAAATGCGAGTAGATAAATAGGCCCGACCTCGGTGGGAAGGTTAACAGCGTTCCGTGTCTAGTCGTGCTGGCCACGTGACCACAGAAACTGTCCTCGGACAAACACTGGCTCTACGGCTTGGAGACGGGGATGAGCACTGCCCTCTAGAGTCGAACACGACTGGCCTAAATGTCAAGGGGAACCTTTACCTTTATCTAAAGCATGAAAGCGTTCTACCTGAAAATCTGGAGGACATTATTCGTAAAAGCCCACCGGATCAAGAAGAAAGCAGAGTTTTCATGTTAACTTCAGCCCCCTTTGGGGGCTGCAGGTCCTGCTTTCCTCCTTTCAGGGAGAAGAAATGCAGCTGCTGTCCTCGGAAATCTTCTCTCGCCATTCGTGACGCGCCTTCCTTTGTCTTGACTTGGCTTCTCAGGTGGAGGACCTGATCTGCCAGGCCAGCCAGAGCCTGCAGCTGCTGATCGAGCACGACCCCGTCTCTCAGCGCCTGGACCGGCTGCGGCTGGATTCCCGCCTCCCCGGGCACGCGAAGAAGCCCTCGTCTCCCTGCCCCATTTCTGCCTTGGGCCTTAAGGAGAACCTGGAAGGGACGCTCCGGAGGCGTTCTCTCAGGTACCCGGTCACGATGGAGTGGCCGAGCGGTCGGCCCGTCTCCAGCTGACTTCCACGAGGCCTGGGTGGAGCTGCATTCAGTGGGCAGGAGGGCATTAAATAAGGGATGCCAGGATGGAGTCCTGCCCTGTAGCTTGATGCCGGTGGGCCTTTAGGTAGAGACACTTAAAAGGTGGAGAGACCCTGATTTTATATATGAGAAGGCATGATTTTTCTCTCTGCTTTCAGCCCTTGGGCGATGGTGAGAAAAATCACTGGGCACAAGGAGAAACATGCTTTAAACATTTAACAACCCCTGTTGCACAATATGCCAATCAACCCTGCAGGAAGAAGCTTTCCTAGCTAGGGAACCGTATATTTCTATTCCATGGCCCCAGCCCCTGTCTGGGATGCTTGTGGCTCAGTGGGTTGTCCTTGGGCTTCGAATAAGCTGCTTCCCAAAATGGAAGACGTTTCCCCCGCCTTCTTGGGCCCCGACAGGATCCCACTACGAGGCGCGGCTGTCGTTCCATGTGCAGTGCTTCCCCCAGAGAAGCATGGAGTGATGGCGCTAGAAGGCGCCTACAAGGCCACCATGTCCAGGCCCCATTCCTTGTTTGGGGCAGCTTTTCTCCAAGCCTAGGAAGATGGGGGTCACCAGCACACCATGTCAAAGGGGCAGACAAGGGTGGTCACCCCGATCCTCCAATGCAGCCACTTAGAAGGAGCCTGGATGTCTCTCTTGCCCATCTCTACCCCAGCCTGCTGAAGGGGGGGGGCAAGGTGCCAGGCGTGCCCTCATCTCGGCCGGATCTTGTCCCCCAGGCGCAGCAACAGCATCTCCAAGTCCCCCGGCCCCAGCTCCCCGAAGGAGCCGCTCCTCCTGAGCCGAGACATCAGCCGCTCGGAATCGCTTCGCTCCACGACCAGCGGCTCCCAGCAGATCTTCCGTCCCTGCGACCTGATCCACGGGGAAGTCCTGGGCAAAGGGTTCTTCGGCCAAGCTATCCAGGTGAGGAGACGATCCGGCCCGCGCTCACGCCCTTCCGGCACCAACACAAGGGTAGGGGCGGGAGGCTGCGGTCTGCTTCCGGCATTGCTCACCTGCCCCCCTCAGAAACCTTGGGGCTCTCTTACTTTCCCGGTGGTCTACTTGGTGTTCATTGGAAGAGCTTAGAAAAGTTAGTTTTTGTAGAGTTGTAAAAGTTGTGAAGCCGTGGCCAGAGTCCTGGTAGTGTAAGTCAAACTGCATAAATCTCAATAGTGAATTGCTTCTCTCGAAGGAGTCAGTGTTCACATTCCTTGTCAAGCGCCAGTCGCGTGACGTCTCGTACACAGGCATCGGCTTGTTAACTCTCCCAGCCATTTGCCGGGGGGGATGGAATACCATTTGATTCAACACCAGTGTGTACTTAAGTCACAGGATTCTGGCCTCCAGCGTAGGGCAGGCACACATACACCCCCAAAACCTTCCTCATCAGCCCCATTCCAACTTCTGTGGCCTCTTCCTCCTCCTCTTCTTCTTACTCAAGAGTCTCTTGTTTTTTTCCTCCTCTTCCTCCTCCTTTCTTCCTGTGGGTAGGAAAACAGTCTGTCAGGTAAGCCCAGCGTTCTGTCCACTGCATGCTTCGAGCTGTGCCATGGTTGGACTCCCTGTGGCCTTCAGTTGGTGCATGACACACACACACACCCCCGCCCAGATGTCATCCCCCTCTTCAGTGACACCAGGCCGCTGTAAGGCAGGGAACGGAAGCGTGTGGTCCAGCCTTGGGGTCCTCATACGCCTGTTTTTCTTTGAACAGAGATGCATGGCAACCCAGCACCCTGCAATTTTTTTATTTGTTTGTTTGGGGGGTTCTTTTGGCTTGGCCTGTATTCTGGAGAACAGTTGTTGCCTGTTCTTCTCTCTTGATTTCCCCGGGCTTTCTCTGGACCTCTGTGTGAGCCTCCCCCAAGCTTCTGTTCTTTGGGAGAGGCTCGGCTGCTCCCTCCTTTCCTTCCCCCAAGCAGGAAAAGCTAGACCTTCAGCCTCTGGGGAAGCCAGCCCCTCTTTTTCTCCACTTTTTGTTTTGTTCTAGAAATCGTTTAAAAATAATGTTAATCCGGTGCTTGCTTTTAGCAACTCAGCGAATGGAGTTTTAATGGTATAATTTTCTGTGTTCTAGTTCTTTATATTGGTTTTTCATTCCCTTTGGGAGTGTTGTAGCTCTCACACTGGGAGGAAAACACAATATGAACCCACCAGCCGTACAGATGAGCAAAGATGTAGGGCCTGAAGGCACTGCCAGATTCCAGGAAGGGAGGGAGATTTGGGCAGGTTTTTTCCACAGGCCCCCAGAACCCTCAGGGCGGAGGGATATCTGAAGGGGCAGCTGCGCTCCCACAGCTGTAGGTCCTTGCCTCAAAGAGCTGGCAGAGTTGGGGGGCTGGAGCCAGACCACGGGCTGGGATTGTCCCATCTGAGCTTGCCAGAAGGTTATTCATTCACCTGCCCACGTCACAGGAGGAAGGAGACCGCGAGCACCAGGCACGGCCGTTGGAGAATCAGGGAGGGCAAGCCATGATGTCCCTTTTCTCCGGGCCCGGCTGCTCCACGGCCTTCTTGAGTCAGCCTCCGCTGCTGCCCCCTCCTCCTCCTCCTCCTCCTCCTGAGGAGGGTGAGCCACCACGTCCCTTTTCTCCGGGCCTGGCTGCTCCATGGCCTTCTTGAGTCAGCCACCGCTGCTGCCCTCTCCTCCTCCTCCTCTTCCTCCTGCCGGTCCCGGCCCCCTCGGGCTCCTGCTCCCAGCCTTGGGGCAGGGACCCCCCGAGAGCCTGGTGCAGCACGTGGACCATTCGAAAGCTGAGCCCGCCTGCTTCTGCTTGGCCCCCTCGTGCAGGTGACGCACAAAGCCACCGGGAAGGTGATGGTGATGAAGGAGCTGATCCGTTGCGACGAAGAAACGCAGAAGACCTTCTTGACGGAGGTAGGCAGGGTGCTCGAGGGGTGGCCCCAAAGAGGTCTGTATGCGGCAGGAACCACATGACATGGCCTGAACAGGCATTAGGGGGCTCAGCCCCACCTCGGCCTTTGCATATATCCTGCGGGCCGTCCTTCAGTGTTCAGGTGGGACGGGTCGCACCAGCCTTTGGGTTGATGTCCAGCCTTTGAGGTCTCCCGTGCTGGAGGCGGCCCAAGGCGTGCTGCCGCCTGAAGTCCCAGCGAGGCCCTCCTGACCCCCAAGCTCAGGACAACACTTTTGAATTGGGGTTGAGAGTCTTTCCGCCCAGTCCACTCTGGGTCCCTCCTGGGCACCCGCTGCCAGCCAAGCCAACGCTGTCAAGAGCAAAACTCCAAAAAAATAAAAATAAAAGTGAGCCGTGCGGTCCTTACGCCATACGGTGCAGGAGTGGGCCACTGAAAAATCAAATTACCTGCTGGCTTTTGTGAATCAACGTGCACTTCCTCAGGTGTGCACCGGCGTCTTGTCGGTTGTGCAGAGAAAGAGTCCCAAAAGTTCATGGCAGATGGCCGTGCCAGGCTTGTTTCTTAGAAGAAGTTTGAGGAGCGGAGAGCCCCATTCTAGGCAAGCCCCCGTGCGAACCTGGGGCTGTTTCCGTGTCTGGAATGGCCGGCCGAGGTTCCCGGGGGCCGAAAAGGGTCCTCCGGGCTCCCAAGGCTTGTCGCCTGGAATGGCCGGGCCGAGGTTCCCGGGGGCTGAAAAGCGTCCTCCGGGCTCCCAAGGCTTGTCTCCCCCCCCACACACTGTTCCTGCAGGCCCCAATCCTTGCCTTCCTCTCCCCGCCCAGAAGCAGAGGCCGCCTCGCCCTGCCCGGCAGCCTCTGGAGGGGCAGCCGAAGGCCTTGGGGTTCAGCTTGGGCCCTCCCCGGGAGGAGAAGAGAGGGCAGGCGCTTTAAATGTATGCTTTGCGGGTGTTCAGGAGCCAGGCCTGTAGAGGCCCCGCCGGTCCCTGACTTGAGGTCTCTGAGAGAGGAGGAGCTGTGGAGAAAGAAATATAGCAAGTGGGGAGGATGGGAGGGGAGCAGCAGCAGAAATGTGGGGAGAAGGGGGAGCCTGGCTCACCCCAACTCTTGGCCTCTCTTCCCAGGTGAAGGTGATGCGCAGCTTAGATCATCCCAACGTGCTGAAGTTCATCGGCGTCTTGTACAAGGACAAGAAGCTGAACCTTCTCACGGAGTACATCGAGGGGGGGACCCTGAAGGATTTCCTCCGGAATGTGGTGAGGGATCTCCGGGAGGAGGAGGCTCTCGGGAAGGCCACGGCTGCTCCCTCCCTCCCTCCCCCTGCCCCGCCCTGTCCCAAGAGGGGGTGACTTCCAGGGGGTGAGGGAGGCCTCCTGTCCCAGATGCTGATGCCTTTCTTGTCTTGCAGGATCCGTTCCCTTGGGAGCAGAAGGTCCGCTTTGCCAAAGGGATCGCGGCTGGCATGGTGAGTGGGGCCGCTCGGTCGCCAGTGAGCAGCTGGCCGGAGGGATCAGAGCCTGCCTGGTCCTGAGGGCACGGGATAGACAGGCGAGTGGCTGGGGCGAGGGGGGGCGAAAGAGGCCAAGGAGGAGCCCCTCCAGCCCATGGGCCTCTTTCCTTGCCAGGGTTGGCAGACGAAGTCTTGAAGGGCCTGCCAGCGGATATGGCTACAGAGAGAGAGAGAGAGAGAGAGAGAGAAAGTGCCACTGGGTGGGATTCTGCCCAGGTGCTGCTGCCCGACCTCTTGATCCTCCGTGGGGCCTCCCTCAGCCTCGGACAGAAATCCTGCCCATGGGCTGGTGGTGTTCAGAGATGTCCAGGGCAGCTGCAAGAGGTTCGGGCCGGGCCACCCAGGCTCGGTCTCTCCCACCTCTCGGACCTTGCACCCGAGGCCAGCTGCCAGGAGGGTCGCGGCATCTACTGACCAACCCAGCAGGGAAGGGAGGTGGGCCCTGAGTCGCTCCGGGAGCCCAGGCCTCCATTGTGTTGGGTGTCATCTTGAAACGGCTGGATTTACGCCGTTTGTAAATAGAGACATAGGTCTCGTGGCCCAGGTTGTAAGCGCTGGAGCTGGAGGGGAGGGCCGAGGCCTCCGGTGACCGTGTCTTCTTTTGCAGGCGTACCTGCACTCCATGTGCATCATCCACCGTGACCTGAATTCACACAACTGCCTTATCAAACTGGTGGGTGCTCCCTCCCTCCCTCCCTCCCTGCCACTTTCCCTTTTGCTGCCTTCCATGTTTCCAAGACTTCTGGGTAGCCCACCTTGGAAAAACTCTTGTTCGTAAGGTTTTTAAAATGCTGGTATACAGGATTTTTTTGGGTGGGGGGGAATGTGTAAGCTGCTTTGAGCCGACCTTAATGAGACAAAGGGCTGCTTTCCATATTTCCAAGACTTCTGGGTAGCCCACCTTGGAAAAACTCTTGTTCGTAAGGCTCTGGTGAGATGATGGAGATGGTGGGTGCCAGATGGATCGCCGGCTTGACCCCGGAGGAGGCAGCCTTGTCGGGTCACCTTCAGGTTGGGGAGGGCTTTGTTTCCCCCCCCCTCCTGCGGGGCCCTACAGTTTTTTGTTCCTTTGCAGCTTGACTGCAATGGGGGTCCAGTAGCCTTGGTCGTCTGGAAGGGTAAAGGCAGCGTGTCTCTGGCTAAAAGCCTCCGGTGGAGATCTTGTGGGGGGGGATTCTCCCATGCCTTGCCCCCCCCCCTTCTTCAGAGGCTCCGACAGTGGCAGGGCCTCACACCCGGCTCGGAGGAAACGGGAAGGCCTTTCTAGTCCTCGCCGGTTCTGCTCCAGCCAAGCAAAGGGACAGCGGGCTTCCTTCTTTGTCCCCGGCTGCAGGACAAGACGGTGGTGGTGGCTGATTTTGGCCTCTCCCGGCTGATCGTGGAGGAAAAGAAGAAGCCCCCGCCCGAAAAGCCGCTCTCCAAGAAGCGGACCCTACGCAAGAGCGACCGGAAGAAGCGCTACACCGTGGTGGGGAACCCTTACTGGATGGCCCCCGAGATGCTCAACGGTGCGAGGCCTCGCGGGCGCCCTGGCCTGGGCTCGGCCGAGACGCTCCTCTCCTTGGGCTCGGCTCTGTCCCTCCCCTCAGTGCTCCCCAGCTCTCCTCCTCAGCCATGAGGCTCCCCGGGATGGGTTGAGGGGCAGGTGGTTTTCATCTCCTTGGTCCCTGTCGGGCCAGTAAGGATGATGCAGGGGAAGCCCCTCCTCTGTCACGGCTGCTGGGGCTCCTCCCGTAGGCAGGTGAGGTCCCACCATGCCCCAAACCCCCTTTAAAAGGGCAGAGGAGGAACCCTTGCCTCTCGGTGCTCCCCACCGTACGAGGGGGGCAGGTGGGGCTGGGAGACCCGTGCCTTCTTCATCTGCACCCCCTCGCCCTCCCGGTTTTGTAACAAACCCCTTTCCTCCCACCCCACCTTGCCTTTTTCGCTCCAGGACAGAGCTATGATGAGACAGTGGACATCTTTTCCTTTGGGATTGTGCTTTGCGAGGTACGGCCGGGGGGTTTCGGGAGCTGAGCGTCGCTCGGCGGTCTGAGGGCTCCGTCTGTCCCTCCCTCCCACCCGGCTTGGCTTTCCCGCTTGGGACCCTGAGCCCTCCAGGGAGTGGCCTGGGGTCACGGCCGAGCCCTCTGTGTTCCAGATCATCGGCCAGGTGTACGCGGACCCAGACTGCCTTCCCCGCACCCTGGATTTCGGCCTCAACGTGAAGCTCTTCTGGGAGAAGTTTGTCCCCGTGGACTGCCCGCCGGCTTTCTTCCCTCTGGCGGCCGTCTGCTGTCGCCTGGAGCCAGAGAGCAGGTGAGGCTTCCCGATGGGCCTGGAGCATCTTGGGTCAGGCTTTCTCTGTGCCTCTCTCTCTGTGTGCGTGCGCACAGGTGTGCCGGTCTCTCTGAAGGACATAGCGTTTTGCAGAGTGCGGCAGCATCTATTACTCCTGGCTCAGGTGTTTTGCTTTTAACAAATCAAGTAACGAAAAGAAAGGAAAAAGAAAGGAGGACAACGAAGGAAGGGAAAAAGCTACCCAGAGAGAGAGAGAGAGAGAGAGAGGTGATAATGAAAGGGTCTCTCCCCAAATGTGACCAGATGTCTCGATAAATGCCTGTATGACAGAAATGTCGGGTTGCCGATTCAGCCCCCGACGCCAGCGCGCTCGGACGGTTGCTGGGCAAACTGGAAGGAGGTTTTGAGGGGCTGGAGCGCAGGGGTCTCTCTTCTCCTCCTCCTCCTCCTCAGCATTTATTTATCCATGGCTTAGACGAAGGAACAGAGAGAATTCTCGCTAGAAAATTGGGAGGGGGGGCTGGCGCTTCAGGAGTAACAGGGCATGCTCCCTCGGCCTGGAAGGGCTTCCTCATAGAGAGTCCAAATCCCCCCCCCCCCCTGGAGGGCTGGCCCCTTCCCTTCTGGAAGCACAGCGTGGGTTTGGGTGGCCTGTAGCCCGTGGCCATTCAAGGCCCAGTGGATTCTGTGGTGTTCTGCTCTCCAAGCTGTGGAGTTTTGACGGTTGACTCCATGGGGAAGGAGGGCTCACCACCCGTTGCCTCTGCCCCCCAGGCAATTCAGCTTACCTTTTTATGGACCAGGTAAATAAAATGGTTTCTAAATGTTTGGACAGCATGCTTTGCACTCAGGAGTGGAAAGGCATGACGGGCCGGCTCCTTTCTCTCCCGTCTCTCCCCAGGCCCCCGTTTTCCAAACTGGAGGACTCTTTCGACGCCCTTTCCCTGTACCTGGGAGAACTGGGCATCCCGCTTCCCTCTGAGCTGGAGGAACTGGATCACAACGTCAGCTTGCAGTACGGGCTGCTCCGGGACAAGCCGCCTGGGAGCCTGACTTAGTTCTCCTCAGGGGACCCACCCTCGCTGTCCAGGGGTTGCCCCGGAGGGGCCGGCAGGGAAGACGAGACCCTTGTGGGGCCTTCATGGGCTACGGCTCACCCTCGCCCGCTCGCCTCCCACGGCCTTCCTTCTGAGCCTCGTTACCTGTGGATCCGGGGCGCACTCTTGCCGCTGGCTCCTTCCGGCCGGCTGCGTCACTACAGACACTCCGTTCGCTTCGGAAACACCGTTCCTGAGTCCCACTTTGGGGGCTGCCCCCCTTCTTGATGGTGGCGGTCTCTGAACCTTGACCGAGACTGCAAAGGAGGGGGAGAGGATCTGGGCTGCTTTGCTCTGGAGGCCAAGCTTTCCCGCTTGGGAGCCTTCAGCCACCTTCCCTGACCTGTTGGAAGGACAAGGAGCCGGAGGGAGGCTGCAAGCAACGGACCTCGACCTTCCCCCCCACCCAGTCCTGGGGGTTCGTCTCTCCTCGAAGGGCTCCAACGCCTTGCCCAGCCCAGTCTTCTCATCCAATCGCAACATGACCACTTCTTCCAAGGAAAACACTACCCAAGTAGATGGGATCTGGAACCCCATCAGCCCTCCGCCCTGTGGGGGCAAAAGGGGCCCATGGGGTTGCAAAAAGGGGCGTGGGTCGCTCCTTGCACTCCCCCCCCCACACACTTCAGGAGGTTCTGCGTGGACCCGAAGCAGCTTTCTGTGTGATGTTACCTGTGACATGAATGGCCACTTAAAATCTGACCCTCCCTCCGTCCTTGGAATGGGAGACCCTCTCCTCCTTTGGGGCCGCCATGCGTCGGAGGGCTTCGGATGCCCTCGCCGCCACTACCTCTGTCCTCCATTTCAGGCCTCCCGTTTTCTCCCCACAGACTGAACCAGGAGCCGGTTCTGGGCTCTTGTGTCCCACACGTGCTTCCAGGACACGAGGAGGACGGAAGAGAGAACCTCTCGGGCCTCCCCGTCTTCCCCGTGGACGGCAGCCGGTCCCCCCCTCAGCTGCCTCTTTCTCCTCCTTTGAGGGCATCGTCGAGAGCCAGGAGAAGCAGGAGACTGGAGGGCCACACCGGTCTTAAGGGCTTTTGGCCCCCCTCCCCAAATTAGCCCTTCCTCCTTGGCTCTCCCTGTGATCTCAGTGCTCAAGAGTTAAGCCTCGTGGTCAGGAGAGAGAGGCGTGAAAACCTGGAGCCCACCTGGCCCTCAGGCGAGTTTTCATCACGTCAGAGTTAAGAAACGATGGCTGCTCCGACTTGGCGCCAGGGAGCAGGCGGCTTTTTCTGTCTGCTGGACCTTTCGGTCCGATTTTGCTCCCTTTCTCTCCCTCCCACCCAGCCCCCAATTTATGAATTTGGGAGTCGGTGAAGAAGGGAGTCGAAACGTGGATCACACACCCAAGAGAGGCTGGACTCTTCCAGTCACACGGCGAAACGTTTTTGTTCAATTAAAAGCAATAAACGTTATCCTACAGAAACAAGTCAGGCTCGTTTTGTGTTGGGAGCGCCGAGGAAAGGGGGGGGGGGACAGTGCGTGGATCAAATCCGTTTTTAAGGGCGTTATCCTACAGAAACAAGTCAGGCTTGTTTTGTGTTGGGAGCGCCGAGGAAAGTGGGGGGCAGTGCGTGGATCAAATCCGTTTTTAAGGGAAGTCAGAGAGCCTGATCCTGACGGAAACGAGGACGGATGAGATCCAATTAGGCCAAAGGTACGGAAGCTTCAGGGAGAACAAGGCCACCCTGGAGATGGGGGTGGTGGTGCTTACTTGGCCTGCCACGGAGGGCAGCCTGGCTGAAGGTGGCCGATCCCACCACCTTTCGGTCCTCTCCACGCTAAACGGATCCAGCCGACCCCCCCCCCTTCCGCTGTTTCTCCCAGGGCTGGTTTCCAGACCCTTTACAAATGTGGGACACTCATGCATAGAACCACACAGCACCCGTGTATAACCTGAATTGTTTTATTTCATCACCAATGAGGTATTTAAAACATTTAACAAAGAAAAAGATCTTCAAAAGCAATTAAAATCAATATATATATATATATTTGGTAAAAAAAGAAAAAAATCCCTTCTCTAGCTTGGAATAAACAGAACTTTGGAAGGAGTTCCCACTCTTGGTGGCCGAACGGCAAAGGCTTAAAGGAAAAGTATGGCTGGAGTGCGGCCCTCCTTCTGGGCAGGAGGGG